ATTGCTACTGCTGCCCAATGCTGGGCTGCAAGTTGCACTGGCACCATCTTCAGCCCTGGATGCTGGATACCACAGCTCTGGGAGCTTGTATATTTATGTTGTTCTGTTGTTCGCAGAAAGGATTCTCTATAGTCCCTATTACTTGGGGCCAGTAATTTCTGATTCCAAGCAGATGCACCTGCTTGGCCAGGTCCTGAGTTATGTGCCCTGGTCCTACTTGCAAAGAAGACTACAAAAGAGAACATCTGGTTTTGGAGGCTCCTTATTTTTATTTTTTTATTTTTTGTGGTCCTGGGGATCAAACCTAAGGGCCTCACACAGGATAGGCAAGTGCTCAACCACTGCCCTGGGGGTTATATCTTAGGGCGCCAAGATTCATAAAGTGGTAAATGTCCTAAGCATGAAAAGGGAGTTCAGATGCTGAGAAGCCAAAAATAAACCTGCTTAAACCCCTTGCCTCTAATCCTATGGGAGAAGAGTATCTGAGTCCATAGCGCTGGCCTTTGAGGGAACCAGAAATGAGTATGGTATATACATTCCAGCCCTGAGCCCGGTATCGATTGCACAACCAGGCTGACCTCTTGTCAGAGCAGAGAGGAAAGATGAATCTTTGTCTGTCCTCCTCTCTCCTGCCACAGTCCCCTCCCAGGCCCAGCGAAGAGAGGAGAGGGAGAGGCAGGGAGACTCAGATGGCCTGCCTTCTGGTACCTGGATCAGCTCTGCCTGCTCCAGCCATCCTTTTCACACCAGCAGGAGGGAAATTGAAGCTGCTGCCATCTAAAAACAAAAGACCTGGCCAGGGATTTAGCTCAGTGGCACTGTGCCTGACTTGCAAGTGCAAGGTCCTGAGTTCGATCCCCCGTACCAAAAAAAATAAATAAACAAAAATAAAAACAAAAGACCAAGACCTATGTCAGAGATTTGTCCCTTTGGTCTTGACCTATGGCCTCAGTTCTGCTGCTAAGACTTTGATTTTCTATGGATCCTGACATGTGGCAGTTTGATGGGGCTTTGCCCCTGCTAGTCTCCAAGCACTAGGCTGCTGGCAGAGACGGGAGTGGGTGGGCAGGAAGAGAAGAGGGCATGTATGTGTTAATCAGCCACCCACAGTCCTTAGGCCTCAGAGACTCAGGCCACAGTTTCCTCTCACTGATATTGTCTAGAGGGGATTTCTAATCTGTGGTTTATTTTTTGTTTATTTTAGTCACCTATCCATTAAGGGAGTTGGTTTAAAGTTAAAAAAAACCAAACCAAACAACAAAAAAAATGAACAAAATTAAAAATGGAAACTCTCTTTTTGAGTCATCTAATTATTTGTTTCTTGATTTTAACCCCAAGCATAACTTGAATTATAGGACAATCCACAGCATCAGGCAGTGCTGCAAGTCATTCTTAGGATCCTTGCCTGGGGGAGGCCCTCGGTGACACAGAATTTTCCTTTATCCTTTCCTTGGGATGTGACTGGGAAGTGGCCTCTGGGCAGGGTGGATAATTCCAGCAGTCTGATTCTAACCTAGGGAGACAGGATGGGGTGGCTAGTGAAATGTGATCCTTCCTGTTCTTTCCTCTACCTCTCACCACAAACAGAGCTCCCACTCCACCCACCTTCCCCCTAAGGTGGCCAGAAGCTCCTAGAGGAGCCACACAAGAAGGCTTCACAAAGGCTTGGGTGGTGGAAAACTTCTGAGTGCTGCTTTTATTAATAGGGTCACTAAAAACTGATACATTTAGAATACCTTAGCTTAGCTCATTACAAAAAGGCCTGCACTGAGCCAGGTTTCAAACTATAGTTCTGACTTTCTTAGAGGATAAAAATAAACAATAGTCAGGAAAGCTGGGTATAGTGGTGTATGCCTGTAGTCCCAGCTACTGGGGAAGGCTGAACTGGGAAGATTGCTAGAGCTCATGGGTTCCGGGCCAGCCTGGGGAACATGGGAAGACTCCCATCTCAAAAAAGAGAAAAGGGAAAGAAAGAAAGAAAGTGAGAGGAGAGGGAGAAGGAGAGAGAAAAGCGGGGGTGTGGGTGTGGGGGGGTGTGGGGGGGTGGAGAGAATATGAATATGAATGAATCGGGTAAAAACAAAACAAAACTTAATGTTTTGGTATCTTCTGAAATGCAATTGAAGACTTTGCTGCTATGTTTCTCACAGTCTTAACTTTTAGGATTTGATAAATTTCATTTAGAATTCAGCATGAGGTAAAAGATTACATTTCCTTATGAACTGATATTGTTTCCTTTTTTTAAACAGCAAGAATGACATAACCACTTGTGTTTCCCTTTTTGATTTAACTGTCAGGAAGCCCAGACTTCAATTGAAGATCCATTTGCAAAATTATCTTATATCTAGTTTCAGGTCATCTCCTTCCTCTATATGGTTTCTCATCTCCCTTTCAATCTCTAACTGTCTCATCTCTTTGTACATTTCAGCTACACCAGAGGTTTTTTTCATTTTTGTTTTTGATTTTTTTTCTTTTAGAAGCAGGCATTACAGTTAGGTGTGGTAGTGCGTACCTATAATTCCAGCACTCTGGGAAGCTGAGGCAGGAGGATTGCTAGTTTGAGCCCAACCCAAGAGCAATTTAGTGCCTTAGCAAGACCCTGTCTCAAAATAAAAAAAATTTTTTTTGTACCAGGGATCAAACTCAGGACCTTGCACTTGCGAGGCAGGCGCGGTGCCACTGAGCTACATCCCCAGCCCAGCCCAGCCATTGTAACAAACAGCAAAACTAATCAACAAATTAGAAACTTGATCAAGGCTACCCAGAACTTGATCTCATTTTCCTAACATACCCAGAACTTATTGCAGAGCCTAACTCACAGGATAGCACACATGGAATTACTAGCAGAATGTGTGCAAGTATTACACTGGGTTTTAGGGACTGAAGAACTACATCAGTGAAGCCTGGAGCAGGGAAGGAAAGCTTTCTGAAAAGGGTAGTACTTACAGTAAGCTTTGAAGGCTTGGAGTTACTTTCAGGGATTCATCCCACCGGACCAGCTATATGTTTTGATTTGAACTATAGGAGGATTTGGAACAAGAATCAGGGACTTTGTCTGGTCGATTCTTTATCAGGTTCTGAAGCACTCCAAGTAGCCAGTTCCTACCTTTCTGGGGAGCAACTATGTGGGAATGTTACTTCACTAGTAAAATGAGAAATAAGTGGAACTGGTTTGGGTGCTGCTGACATTTTAGATGGGACACTTCTTTTTTTTTCTTTCCTTTTTTCCTTTTTTCTCTTCTTTTTTTTCTTGGTACCAGGGATCAAACTCGGGTCCTTGAGCTTGTGCAGCAGGCAGTGAAACCACTGAGCTAAATCCCCGGCAGATGGGGCACTTCTTCATTAGAACCATCCCACCTACCACCGTACATTTAGTTACCATTGTGCTCTCTACCCACCAAATGCCAGTAGCAATACCCGATTGTTGGTACATCGTCAAATGCCATATAGGTAAGACCCTCTCCCACCCTATTCCCTCAACTGCCTGAGAGTCTCCTCTCTAGTCTGCTTCTCACAAGTAAGACTTCTGGATTGCTGTGGTTTTAATGTGTACCCTAAAGTTCATGTGTTGGAAACTTAGTTCTCAGTGCAACAATACCAAGGGGCGGGCCCCGTAGGATGTGATTAGGTCATGGGGATGCTGTTATTGTGGGAGCAGATTAATTTGGGCATAAGTTCCTGATAAGTGTGAGTTCAGCCTCCCCACTCCAGGTGACACCTCCTGTTGTTAGGTTGCAGGCAGGATGAAGATCCTCATCAGATGCAGACCCTCAATCTAGGACTTCCCAATCTCTGGAGCTGTGAGACCAATAACCTTCTTTATAAATTGCCCATTCTGTGGTATTTTTTTTAGCAGCACAACATAGGCTAAAGTCACAGATTTAGCAAATGAAGCAATGACTTTTCTTAGTACAAGTATATCCCAAATATTGCATGATTTATTGTTTTTCTAATACTAAAATCTAACTCAAGAGTATTTATTTTATTTGGAAGCCCTACCTATAACCCTTCACCACCACAGGAAAACCTGCCTCCCAGAACTTTCCATTGCTTTGTGTGCTGACCCAGTCCTTTCTCCCCTGTCAAGAGCCCTCTATTCTGTGTTTCAGTCCCTCAGGTTCATTCTCTGTCCTAAATCTCAGTGGGATGGTAAATACTTTTAACTAGATGAGCAAATCCTTCTTAATATGTAGGGTGCTTATCCCATTCAGGTAACATCTTCATGCCTGTCCCCAGAGATCCTCACATTGAAAGGGGGGAGGACAGTGAAGGTGAGGGTATCCAGCTGATGCCTAGGACCCTCGCTTCTAACAATTCCTACCTAGGGCTGGGGATTTAGTTCAGTGGTTTCGCCGCCCGCTATGGAGGCGCGAAAACCCGAGTTCGATCCCCGGTACCAAAAAAAAAAAAATTCCTATCTTTGGCTGCACAGGGGGAGCTTTAAATGCTACTGATGCCTTGTTCTACCCTCCTGACTCTGACTGAATTATTCTGGGGTGGAGCCAGGGCATTGGGAATTTTTACACTTGATCTTAGCCAAAAGGCCGAGAAGCAATGGGCATTGGGAATTTTTAAAAAGCCATATCCGGGCTGGGGATTTAGCTCAGTGGCACTGCGCCTGCCTCCCAATCACAAGGTCCTGTCCTGAGTTTGATCCCTGGTACCAAAAAAAAAAAAAAGCCATATTCCCTCCTGGGACAGTTCTAACAGGTCTCCAAGGTTAGAATCACTGCTTTGCTTCCTAGAAGAGGGAAAGAGAGAGTGCAGAGTGAGACAGTGAAAGAGAGGAAACAAGAATGCATGAAACCTGATTTCAGGTGCTCTGCTTGGCAGTGTTAATTCAGGACATTCCAACCAAGCAGGAAAGGACAATTCCAGAAAGCAATATACTCTGAATGTGTTCCATTGTGAGCAAAACAGATGTGAAATGGCACTTCTGCAGAACTTAGGGAGCATTTCATTTTTTGCCAGACACTGCCCTGAGAGATGCCCCAACTTACCAAAATAAGTCTAGAGAGAGTCCCAGTTTGCTTTACTGCCCAGTGATTCCAACCCGTGCCAGGAGCAGTTCTGGAGCCAGGCTGCTCACATGCACAGCCTTGCTAGTGTTGGCTGAGGAGCAAGCTTCTGATGTCACTGTGGGCACCTCAGTGAAAGAGGCTCTCCTCTTGGCTCTCTGCGGGCTGCGAGCCTAAGATGTCAGTCCCTAGGCCTTCGGCACACTCCTGCCTGGCCTCTGACAAGTAGGTCAGCATAGACATGACTCCAGCCTCCACCGAAAGCTGCTTGCTGCTGGCAGGAAGTTGCTTCTGCAGAATTAAAAACCATCAGAGTTGATCAAAGGAAGTGCAGGGCAAGCTGGCAGGCAGGCCAGATCCTAATCTCTGCTTGCTGGCCTCACACATCACTGCACATGAGTCACCCCACTGAGCTCAGCGGACATGCTGTTTGGATTAGGGTTTTACGGGTGAACTTTGCCAAACTTGCCTTTGCTGTCTTGCTGCACAGAGCAGCTGAGAAGCAAGGGAGAAAGGTAGGAACGTGGGCTTGATGTGATTGCCCAGGTGCCAGAGGAGGTGGTGGCTCCCTGGGGTCAGGGGTGGCTGTGAATCCTGGTGTTCCCAGCCTTTTTTCTCAGCTTAGCTCCATGAACCCTATCAGAAGCAACAAAACCCACAGCAGGCCCACATGTCCTTTCTCTTGTGCCAGCTCACCAATTAAGACGTACTATTCTCCACACACATTTTGCCTTCACCCTACCATTTGCCTCTCAACCAGAAGGAATTCCTTTTCTCAACAGCAGGCATCTTCATCACCACTCAGGCATCTTGCCTCAAAAGCAGTGGAGTCCAGTGAAAAAGGGAGGGAAGTCAAAAAATAAAAATTCCTAAATTAAGAGCCAACCCATAAAAGCAGGGCTTCCCTTAGTGCCTGGCTGGTGTGACATCATCGTGAATTACTCAATGAAAATGGTGTCAGAGCAGCAGCTCAGCTATATGTGGTAATTTCTCTCCAGATACAGAAGTCTGCAGAAAATAAGTAGGGGTAGAAAAATCCCACCCTGAACTTAGGGCTTTGGGGCTTGCCTCCAGAGGAGCTGGTTTTCCTGGACAGAGAGCAGGGTGAGATTCTCTTCCGAGCAGGGTATGGATGCTCATGAACAGTAGTAGATAGAACCTAGTGGTTTGTTTTGCTTCCTTCTCTGGAAGCAATGGTAGGAACAGGACCAAAATCCTTTGTTTCAGATTCTGCCAAGTTTTGCTTCTGTGCATGGTAACTTGGGAAGAAGCACCCCCATTATTTTGTAAGCCAAGGATTCTTGGCTTGTTGTTTCTGCTGGGATTTCTTTAGAACACTTTAGACTTTCATTTATTAAAGGCGTCTAAATGGAGGTGGCAGTCCTTGACAATTTCAAAATAAATGTTGTCACCAGTCTCTACTGCTCTTGACCATAGACCACAAACTTCCAAACTTACCACTGATTAATCATTTAGCTGGCTTTTCAGTTTTTTTCTCATCTATCTATAACTCATATTGATTAAACTTAGTCATGAACATTTTCTCTCTCTTTTTCCTTTAACATTTTCACTTAAAAATAGAAATGAAGACAGAGGTAATACCCTCAACAGCCTTGAAGTTACTAAAGCACATCACAGCAGTATGGCACAGTGGTTAAGGTGTGACTGTTAGGAAAACCCTGTGTTTGAGCCCTGGCTTTGCTGCCTATTAGTGGTATGATCTTCAAACAATTTTCTTAATCCTTCACAGCTACAATCTCCTCATCTGTAAAATGTGGGTAATAATAGTCCCAACCTCACTGGTAAGGATTAAATGAGCTAAGGCAAATAAAACATTGAGTAAAGTTCCTGGAACCTAGTAAACACATAAAAATGACTATTTATATTATAATAATTACTCTGTAACCAGCATTATATAGGTAATAGTGGTAAGCTTAATTGGACTCTACGGCCCACAATTTTTCCTTCTGAGTTCCTCAATGCCCAGAGTTAAAGTCTGATTTAATCAAAGTGATTGGCTTGAGGTGCCTGTACTTGATTGGAATTGTCCTCATTCTTTGTTAGGAAAAACCATGAGAGAGGAGGAAAGGATCACTTATAAGTGATAAAAAAAAAGTGGGAGACTGGGCTGGGGGTATAGCTCAGGCTCAATTGCAGAGAGTACTTGCCTAGCATATGGGAGACTCTAGGTTCAATTCCTAGCATGTACACACACACACACACACACACACACACATCAGTGTTTATACTTGAGAGATTCTTTTCTATAACAAGAAGAAGAAAAATTCCATAACCCTTGAGGGCTCACTGTGGATGGATGACAGAGACTGTGGATTCACTTCCTAGTGAAGACTGTTAAAAGAAGGGAAGCCCTGGGCCTGGGATATAGCTCAGTAGTGTCATGCCTGCCTAACAAGCACAAGGTCCTGAGTTTGATTCCCAGTGCCCCCTCCAAAAAAAAAGAAAAAGAAAAAGAAAAAAGAAGGGAAGCCCTAGGAGGAATTTGATATGGCCCAGTATATTGAAAATACAATGACAAGTTCTCTGTGTAGTTGTGTAGTGGGGGTGATGATCATAAATGCATAGGGATAGACAGCATTTCCAGGGCATAGGTAGGCCCTGGACATAGTCCACAGGTGAGGAGCGCATTTGGAGTTGTTCTGCACTGCAAGCATAAAGGTATCTATTTACTTAATTGGGTAGGATAGGTTGCATTTAGCAAGACCCCCTCACTAACATGGATTTAGACTGAGACTGTCTTTGCGTGTGTGTGTGTGTGTGTGTGTGTGTGCGTGTGTGCGAGTGTGAGACAGAGAGAGAGAGAGAGCGGACTAAGAGTTACTCACAGGTGAGCAAAAGATAACAGGAAAAGTAAGATGAGGAGAGATCTATTGATATCATATCAGCAGAGGGACCCGGAAAGGAGCAGAAACTAGAGAAATGAAATCAGCTATAGATTACTCTTGAAATTATCTAAGCATGTGGCATAATTTCTGAGTAACTCAGACTCTGGGAAATGCATTGCTGCGGATAATCTGTATCTTATAAAATATCATATTTTGGGGGAGAGAGCAAGGGTTGGGTGAACCCTGTCCAATGGGGACATCATGGAAGGGGTTCCATCCGAGTATAAGCATATGAGGATGGGCCGGGGATTTAGCTCAGTGGTTCTGGCGCCTGCCTCGAAAGAGCAAGGTCCTGAGTTTGATCCCCGGTACCAAAAAAAAAAAGCATATGAGGCTTTGGATTTTTGTCTTTTTCACTCATTGCTCTATTCCCAGCACTAGAACAGTGTAGCTTCCTTCCTAACCCCTTGAGTTAGTTTCCTACTGCCGGTGTAACAAAGTATGATAGTGACTTAAACACATTTGTTACATGCTGGGTCTTGAGTCCCTAAGTCCTAAAATCCAGGTATCTGTAGGGCTGCTTTCTTCTGGAGGCTCCAGGGGAAGGATTTCCTGTTCCTTTTCTGCTTCCAAAGGATTTCTTGGCCCTTCCTTGGATCACTCCAACCTGTGCTCCCATACTCACGTCTTTTCTGACTCTGACTCTCTTGCCTTCCTCTTTTCCTTATAAGGATCCTTGTGATTACATTGTGCTTAGTGGGATAATCCGGGATAATCTCCCTCATCTCAAGGTCTTTAACTTAATCACATCTCCAAAGTCCATGTAAGGTAATACAGTCATAGGTTCCAGAATACAGACATTCTCAGGGATCATTATTCTGCCTACTATAGCCTGAGGCCACCAGTGTCACATCAAGGGAAGATGGCAGCCCTGAGTCATAGGCCAGGGTCCACAGTGCACTGAGCAGAGGCCCCGGCTGAGTGTGGAGTTTAAGAGCAGGCGAAAGTAGAAGAACAAGCTGAAGCACAGGCTGGCACTGGAGATGAGAAACCAATTCCCTTTTTGCAAATATACTGGAGGAAGGTGGTGGCTGGTGGCAGAGGCAGTGGTAGATTTTGCTGCTATGAATACAGGGGCTGTCGGGGCAGCCAACACTCAGGTTACAGTTCTTTTCCACTGGGGGGGTGGGTAAGAATTTGAGCCAATTTGTAAAGTGCAGTGCCTGGCTAATGGCAGGTGCACAATTCAGTAAGAGCCATCTATTATTAATACCAGAGGGAGGGGGGCCAGGGAGCACCCAGAACCCCAGCTGCCTGGGGAGACAGGTCACATAGATCTGACCCTGGAGAAACAGGAGGAAGATCTGCCAGAAGGGAATAAGGTACGAAGCAGGTGTGCAGAGGTAGAATTTCAAATGCTCTTTATCTTAATTTCTTCCCAAACAGGCTAGGAGGAAGCATCTGGCAGGTTCTTTAATGAAACTTGGAACTGGCTGCTGCAGTCAAGAAGGAAATATTTCTGTGGTTTTTCTGTGGGAGAAGAAACTAATAAATCTTTCCGTTGTTGAAGGAACACCTTTCAGTGGTGTAGCTCTGAGAAGGATATATTATTCTTAAAGCATACGTGCTTGCAAGTTTGTTAGCATCAGGCTATTGGGAGGCGTCACGAAGATCCTGCAGAGCAGGAACAAAATCCAGGAACAAAGAAGATATCTAGGAGCTGGGAGTTACCAACTGCAGCACTCAAGAGGACAGACATTTAAGAAAGAGACATTCCTATTAGAGCAGCTGGGTTTTCCCGGTGAGTGGCAGCTCTGGAAAGCACACCTGCATCTCCCTGTGTCTTTTCCAGGAGCCCGTCCACTGCAAAGGAAGGAGCATTTGGTGATCCATGCCCACTCTACTCAGCACTGTGTTGCAGAAGAAAAGGTCAAGATCTTGTTCTCAAGAAGCTCATTCTGCACGGGTGTACTGAATCTTTGCTATATGCCTGGCACTGTTCAAGGCACAGGTTGGGATGCAATGGTGACCAAACCGATGACAGATAACAAATATATATCATGGGCCGGGGATTTGGCTCACTGGTTTCGCTGCCTGCTGTGCAAGTGGAAGGATCTGAGTTCAATCCCCGGCACCAAAAAAA